TTCACCCTTTTGGGGTTTCATCCATCTTCATTTGCTTTTGCTTGCTGCCATTTCCTCTGGCTTTTCAATCGTGGGACACTGGTAGCTATTATTCATTCTCTGGTTTCTGACCAGTCACAGAGCAAAGAGCTGCAGCTTTCTATCAATACCACATTAATGCCTATTTAGCTCTTATTTTAAGCATTGTTTTTTTTCCGCTTGGGTACCAAGTGCCAGAGTACAACAGCTCTCGTAGAAAAGCAGGTTCTACTGCCTTGCTGCATCTTGGATTTATAAGAAAAATATCTCAATGCAAATATTTAGCATCACTCTGTAGCTAATTTACTAATAGTAACTCTGAACAGGAGTGAAAATATAACCAAAGTATGAAGAACGTAACTGCCCAGACCACTGAAGTCAGACAAATATGAACAAACATCTCCAGTGTGCACACTTCTTTTCCATACAAAGGACAAAGAGGTGAAGCATCAGAACCCTTCCACCACTAACCATGAAATAAGCACTACATGCACCCCTATTTTCAGCTATAACAAATCCTTTAACTTAGGGTAATTCCAACAATTATAATCACCAGATTGGGAAACTGCATAACTTGTGCTTGGTTGACATTGATTTGAGTAATCTTATTGCCCTGCATAGTTCATAGGACTGATAATGCATTCTGTCTCCAAAGTAAAGAGAGGGAAAACAAGCCCTTTTTGCCCTAGCCACTTGACAGGCTGAAGGGCAAGCAGGAGCCCCAACAGTAGACCTGGGCTCTCCACTGTAAGAAGGTACTGCAGAAATGCCACATGCTAACCTTTGTCCCCAGATGTGGGAAGGCAGGCTGCCTGGCCTCACTACAGGCCAGCGATACACCAACCTGCCCCTCTGGGGACCACACAGATGTGCAGCTGGTGAAAAGCATCTACCAGCTCAATAGAAAAGACAGAAAGAGTCAGAGATTTTGCATAAGAGGAAGAGATTAAATGACTTCCCCAAGGTTTCACTGAAAGCTGAGAACAGAGACAAGGAGCTGAACACACACATCCTGAATCACAGCCTTGTGTCTCAATCACAAGACCCTCCTTCCTCTTGTGCATTCTGCACCATCTAGGGTAATCAAGAAAAGGACTGCTATGCCCAAATAAATCAGTAATTGAATACTAAACCTATAAATCACATAGAACATTCAGACGTCTTAACAGAAAGGCAATGAGTTCCAAAGAAGTGACAAGCCTTGCTATAGCTCCGGAAGGAGGAAATCATTTCCTGTGCTGGTCATCCATGCTGAATTAAGATCAATTTCAATGGCAGTAAGTTAGGTAATACAGCACCTTTCTCAGAAAAAACACAAAAGGGCACGTCTACACTGTGCAGCACACTCAGCCTCAGAGCCAGCTCCAAGCACGCTGACCACGGAAAAGCATAGTGTCATGAGGTGCATGGCTACATTAAGGCAGCAATAGGCACGTCAGCAGCCAAGTTAACGAGCCTTAGTACTTAGGAAGGCATATGCAGCTAAATCCAGGGACACATTTATACTGCTTCGATGGCTACCTCAGACCCTGTTCGTGCTCCTGAAGGCCACTGAACCTTGTTCCATTATGCAACGCAAGCATGATCTTCCTTGCTTTCTGGCTTCGCCAAGGTTGGGAAAGGATATGGTTGTGCTCTATAAATAAGTCATGGAGTAAACAGCAAGGGAAGAAGAAAGCTGTTGCAGCTGAGGGTTTTGACACAAGAATAAAACTGATCTCTGCAAGTTCTAGTAATAAGTCTTTTAGTCTGAGAAGTGTTCTTCTGTAACCACAGCAGAGAAAAAAAAATCCCAGCATTGATAAGATAGATCTTGTTAATTAGTAAAGAGATTTTTTGAAGAAGTTGTCTTTCCCAGCATATGCCTGGGCTGAGTGACAAGGAAGACTGCGTCTACACATACCTTTTCTAGACAATGCTTTTGAGATACTTCTAGGAAACATCACCATGGTCTAGATACCCAGATACTTCCAGAAAGATGAACTAGTACAGCCTCACGCATACACTTTTCAAAGCACACCATAAATAATAAAACAGAGCTTTCCACCTTTGGAGAAAATTTTATCTGACTGTGCAGTATAAATGTATGTGCATGTGCACAAACATTATTTTCAATATCAAGACCATCTTCAAGCAATTTCTCACTCTCACAATGCATTTATTTTATGTAAAACAGATGCATGTCTTTGGGGTAGGCTTAGTCTTTTAGTCTCACACCATGAATGTCCCTTGTAAATAAAGCAGGAAATACAAATTTCCTTGTCTACTTCCAAGCCTGAAAGCCACTAGCATAAGGGGCCACCAGCAGAACCAGCTGGAACCCTTTCAGCACCCCACAGTGTCTGCTGGTTGGGTTTGCGATCTTCAGACCAGCACAGATCAGTGCAGCTCCACTGAGCTGTGTCCATTTTCACCACCTGTCAAGAAGATGAACTTGTGGCAATGCATCCAGCCCCAGTTCCTCAAACAAGTTCTGCTACATTAATGCTATTTAATATCTGCATTGCTGGTGAGCATAGAAATGCTACCTCTGGATTAAGGTCACTGCCATGTGCTGTGCCTAGTGGGACACAGAACAACTACATACAAGAAGAAACAAGCATTAAAATTGCAGATTATAAGACTGCACCAGAAGTCACTAGAACTGAACTGAGGAAAAAAATCCACTGAATTAAAATTAATTCACACCTACCTTTCTAATTAAAAAATATTTTCTACAGATGTCTTCCCTTTTCTTCCCCAAATGATGGTGGATGCAAGCTTTTCATTTACCAATGATGGAACTGATAGCAAGCATTATGCCAGTATTCACTGGACTTCCTCCCATCCATTTGTGTTGAGTTTATGTTGTCAGACTCAAATGCCATTAATAAAAGCGGGCTGTTCAGTTCCGACAAACGAAGCCTTGCAAGTTTACAGACACAATTGCTCCAGGCTCCCCCTACGGTGGATGAGATATGGTGTTGTTTGAATGGATTCAAAAGAGACACATTTTCACACCTGTCAGGCCTAGATTAATATCCCCACTAATTGCACTTTAGGAACGGCCGATTAGTTCTAGCTACAGAAACTTTCTTGGGCAAGAGGGAGAAGCAGCCTGTTCTCACCATCAGGGCTCGTTCTTCCTGGGACAGTGTGCAGTGCTGCATGTATCTCTGAGGTGTGACAGGAGTCCTGCTGTACGCCCTATCCCAAACCTACTTTAATGATGATGGAGATGATAAGAGGTGACCATGACTGTAGTAGGAAAAAAAGCAAGCATTACACTGAATCTGCACAGGCTCTCACTTTCAAGCTAGAAGTGGTCATTTTAACTAACCCATTTTTTTCTAAATTTTTGCTTTAAACGGGCAGTACTTAATTTATGGTATCACACTTGCAGGGTAAAAAAATAAAGTCAAATCACATTGCTGAAATCACGAAATGGGATTAAGCAAAGCTGTGGCCTTGCAGCAGGCGGCCCAAGCACCAGTGATACCGGTGGAGTGCTTAAAAACAAAAGTCAGGGACCAAGGGTTAGTCCAGCAATTCGAACGTGACAGGAAGGCTAGTTAATAAACACCAGCTAGCCCCTTCAATTACAGCAATAAATTGTTCAATTGGTTAAATGTCCACAGGTTCTTCCCCAAACACCACTGTGAACTGTTTAATTAGCAAACTCTTGCATCACTGGACAAACAGATAGAGGTGAGCTGGGGGGGGACGGGGACGCTCAGCCCCTTGAGGAACCAGCAGTGCTGATGCCCCAGGCTTGTCTTCTGCAGGGCTCATCCATGCCACACAGCCCATCGCTCTTCAAAAAGCTTTCATACTCCACTGGGCATTAATCATTCATTATGGCCTATTTTTCAAAGCAGAATTTAAATTGCACAGGCTAAATATGTCTTAATCACCATTTTTTTCCACATCAGCTTTCTGTATTTTGATAAGACATCCTACAAATTGCAGCTTCTCACCTGCTGCAAGATTAGATAGCCACGCAAACAAAGCAGGTTATACGACATGAGAGATACTGAGTACCTGGAAACTGCATGCTGTACAGAACAGACCTGCAGATTGAAGTCAGCAGGCTTATTTCTTGAAAATATTTAACACACTAAATTTGGGATTATCTCACAAAGAATTAAGGACATCCAAAGCCTTGTAAAATGACTTATCATCATGATCACACTTGGTTCCTAAGGGCACTTAAAATATATCCCTGAAGAATATGCCATCATACCATTATTTTTTTATACAAAAAATGTTTTTGGTAAACCCATTTTAGTAAAACGATGTTATTTCTGGAGAATAAAGCCATGAGTTTAAGTTGATCAATGAGAACCCATTCAGAGTTTAAAGATCCATTCGAGTTGCTTTCATTGGACCTTTGATCACTCTGACGAACCAGAGATGCTGCATATTCTGTTATTAAATAAAAACCACATACCAATACAGAAAAACATATTTTTTTAAAATCACATAAATCATATCAATTTAACTCCACTTCTGAAAAACAACCAGTAGAAGGAGGTAAGTACCAATGTTATGTTTACACAATGAGGAGGAATCACATTTCCTTGCTGAAGTTTTCTCTAATGAACTACCACAGAGGTAAATTTATCACAGTTGGGAGCAGAATACTGTGCCTGTGGAAATCTGTAAGTGACAGCCCTGTCTCTGGCAAAAGTATTTATTTGGAAAAGGGCTTTAGGGAGCAGTGGACACTTACAACCAATTTTTTTTTAATAACATTGAGCAAGTCTACTATTTTGTGCTTCTGCTTGAGAGGCAAAGCCTGGCTCCTCAAAGGATATCCGAGGGATATACAAGCAGTTCAATTCTGGGGGGAGGAAGGAGAGGGTAGGACAATGTCCCTATCCTCCACTTGCAAAAACACACAAATTGTACTGCTGAAGTCAGGACGTTTCTGGGTGATCTTGCTGGCTCCTGGGAGACCCAGCACCCAACTCACGTTTGAAGATTCTCCCCCATGTACCTACCTCAAGGGTCCAGACTTGCTCTGGGAAACAGATCCCCGTAGGCTAAGCAGTGTCATACTGCCCCACATTTAGAACAGAAATGATCTTATTTAGCATGCAGACCCTTGCAGAAGTAAGCAAAGCAGACTCTCACATTTGGATTCACGGGAGACCTTCGTCGAATTCTGCAGTTGCTACAACATCGTAAAGAGCATTCTGAATGCAAATTGTGATCTTTGTGATGCCAGATCCAACAGAAAAAAAAAAAAAGAAAAAAGAAAAAAAAAAACGCTGCAAAGAGCCGCTTTACCGCTAACAAATTACATCCGTTACCCCCTGTTTGTATGAAGTGATTAATGTTACAGAGAATACTTCACTTAAATCCGTACCATTAAAGCTGCGTGCTCACTTCAACAGCTTGCTGAATCGAGGGTTTTGGTATCTGTGCTCCAGCAGCAGACGATGTCGAAGTTTTTTTTGTTTTTGTAGCTTTGTAGTACTAACTGAATTAACATCTCTGGCAAAGCCTCAGGACAGGCTTTCAGTTGACACCGATTAGCATAGCCTCACTGAATGCTACAGACTGCAGCAATTCACACCATTAAGAATCCGGGGGGCAGGCCGGGGAGAAAATGGAAATTACGAGAAGAATAGAGAACACAAAGCAGCACCGATGTCCTCGCATATAGGCTTTTATTCTGGAGATAGTTTACAAGCAGTTCGTAACCTTTGGACTCCAGACAGTCTTTAGAACCAACACGAGGAGGTTAAAGATTCGGTCTGAACTTTCCATCCAACCACAGCACTGTAAATATTTGGAAGGTGCGCTGGAACTCATAAAGTTCCCATAAAATGGATGTTAGTGAAACAAAACAAGAAAACTCTGCAACTTGCATTCGTCAAATGATATGAGATCGCATTACTTTGATCCAAAGAAATATTAGGGGTACACATATTTTGCTATGCTTAGAAGGGATTTTCCCAGCAAAACAGCTAATGCATTTTTGTTTAACAAACAGTCTGAGCATTCTCTCATTCCAAATTCCTAATTTCAGATTCACTGAAAAAGAATTATTTATCATCACAGCCTTTCTATATCCTAAACAGAGTGGTTCATTGAAATACTTCAATTTTTTAATTATTAAATATGCCTAGGAGAAGTCACTGGGAAATTCACAGCACAAAATCATTTGTGTTTCAGTATTTCACTGATTTGTTTAAAATACACATTCACTTCCAGTATAAAACAATTCACTTATCCTATTAAACAATACTCATAAATAAATCTGTCAAGAAAAAATGATTTTAACAAATAACTTCAGGCTACAAATTAAGGTTTTGCTCTTTGACAATCATTTAAAAAGACTCAATAAGAAAAGATTTACAGCTACAGATTTATTCTGGGAATGAATGATTTTTAAACTAATCATTATGTACTCTGGAGGCCTTCATTATATGTTAGCTAGGAAGTGACACAAACTTAATTGACAGAGCCAAATGAAACAAAACCAAGTGAAGTATATCACTAATAAGCAATCCAAAAATAAAAGACAAAGAGTTATTTTAGTATTTTACTATTGGTTTGTTTCTCGTTGGATGCTTAATGCTCCAAGTCACATGGAACTTAAATGTACTTAAATGACTTAAATGTACTTAAGTGCAAGAGGGAGTTGAGAGTCCAACAGTATTTTAACAGTTTTATCTGGTAAATAAAAATACCTTAAACACATTTTAAACCTCTGTCCTGAGCAGAGGCTTCTGTTGTGAGCAGTAGATGCTACACAGTATGAACGCATTCCTTTATTCAAAGCTAAGAATCTCATTTGTCTGTTCAGACAGGTCACTTAACTCATCAAGGGAGGGAAAGTTAGTCTGAAAAAAATAATGCAAAACAGACAATTTCTGAAGTAATAAATATGTCAAAAAGCTGAAATACAATCTTACTCTGACAATAACAATGAAAGACCAAAGTATATTGGTTTTGCACTAGATGTGCATTCAAAGCTTCCCATATAGAGTTTTGGATTTCTGCCTTTAGGATTGAAAAATCTGCATATGCAAAAAAATAGATCCAGGTTTTTTTTTTTCTGTTTTTTTTTTTACTTCTGATATTTGTGTTTGCTTTTTTTAAAAAAAAAAAAAATTCTTTTAATGAATTACAACTGATCCAGAATCAGGAATTCTAACAGTTAAAGAATAATTCAGACAAAAGAAATTAACACATCACACTTTTAAATCAAGGATTAATCAAGCTGATGATGTGATGCAAAAATTGGGCGAGAGGTCTCTCCCACATATGCATTTTTTGCCTTGATATACCACCATAAGTTCAGAAAACAAAACTATTATCCCACTATGTCTTAGGACAAGCAATTTCCACAAAGTTTTCACAGCCCCCAGCATATAAGCAAGATCCAGAGTTTTGACTCACCTGATCTAATAGGTTTTTGGCTTGTACAGAAAGCTCAAAGTCTCAGCACTATCTTGCCCCTTCATTCACCATACAGAGTATCTCCATACAGTATGCTCCTATGTCAAGCATGTTCTTGCCTATTTCTCTCACTTGCCTTGAAGTGTGAAAGCAGTTACGCCAGCTATTCTGAGAAGCTTTATACTGCATCAAGCACCTGTTCAGACAAGAGTCAGTTAAAAAAGCAAGCTAACAGCTGAGCTGGGGTCAGCCACACTATGAACTTCAGGACGTATTCAGAGACCCCACTACCCTCAGCTCTCCCATCTTTATTTGAAAATAGAAGTTCTAGTAATGTGATGCTTTCCGTCCCTGTTCAAGCAGAGAGTGAAAGCCCTCCTGCTGTCCTCTACTCTTTGGAAGAAAGTGTTAGCCTCCTAACCTGCACTATGCCTCTGCAGAAATAAGACAGCTCATCCCACACTTGCAGTGTTTGTTTAAAGAGCACGGGTTCAACAGAGACAGTTAACCATTAGCTAGTGCCATGCAGATCATATTACACTCACTATGAATACTTGTTAAGTATTCCTAAATGAAGCCTAGTTCAAGATGGGCACTTGGTCAATCAATCTTCTCCAAGCATTGCTGAATGGTAACACTGACTGCTGCAACCCCACACGTGGAGCCAGGCTTGGGCATAAGCTCCAGGTTTGCAGAAAAGAAGGTTCTCAAGTACTTTGCTTATACACCTCCAGTGTTTATTACTGGTACCAAAAACTGCTCAGAAGGAATTCAAAAGCACCAAAATATCATACTAGAGATCTGTATATGTGACGTCCCTAAGGACTGTCCATACAAAGAAGTTTTGTTTCAGTACATGAATCTGTAAGCAACTCAGCTTTACAGACTGAAAAGAAACAGCAGCTATCTTCTTAAGTGGAAGTTAACTTTTCCAAACTTTTTTTTTCTTTTCCTCTCACAGGTTAAAAATGCTGGTCACAAAACTGCTTAGCGCTGATATTATTTTGTATTACCTAAATTTTGACAAAAACTTCAGTTGTAGTGATATCCCATCATGTCATATAAAGCACAAGGGTTTTTATTTTTTATTACACAAGTATCTAGAAGTCCTGAGGAACAGCACTGTGCCAGTTTATGAACTGCATAAACACATGGAAACTTCACCACTTCCAAGAGACTGCAATGAGATAGAGAAGGGAGGCACAAAGAGAAGAGGGAAGGAGGTGTTGCCTTTACTTTGCAGGGTCTGCATTGGGACTTAGAAAGATTAAGACCCTTTTGCAACTTTAGAATTAGTATAGCAACTATTCTCATTAAGATGGCTACATGCTAGGGCTCAACAGTGCCAGGACTGAAGCAGCAGGCACAGTCCAACTTGATTAATTTAGTCTAAAACAGATCTAGGAACTGAATGCACCTTTTCCTGCACCCTACCCACTACTTGATCACCACCAGCTTTGCCCCCCTTATACACTACCCATACAGCTTTCCACTTGTGACAGTTGGTACTATCCTGTTCCTGGTTTATATTAATGCACCATCCCAGTCTAGTGCCTAGCTTTTCAATCTTTGCAGCACAAATAAGATTAATTTTTAATTTTAAGGCCCTGATTCAGCAGAACATTCAACTACATGCTTAATTCTATCCCTATTCAGTAAAGTACTTAAGTATTTGCTTAATTCTCATTTACTCCCCTGAGACTTGAACATGTGCTTAAAGATAAGCCTCTTCTTAAGTACTTTGCTGAAGTAGGGCCTAAACTGTGATCTAGGATCCAGGAGGGAAAAATAGATCAATAATGTGTTATTTCCTCATGAATATTAGGCTAACGTTTGAAAAGATAAAAAAAAAAATCAAAATTAAATAGTACAGTTAGTACAGTTGTTTTATGGGAAGAGACAAATTTTACTGCAAACAGTTCTCTCTTCAAAAAGTCCTTCTTCTTGACCTCTTATGTCTATAAACTTACATTATTGCAATGTGCTGAGCCAACCACTCACTCTCTGTTGCATGATCAGAATCTTAAAGTTTTTCAAGCGAGGTACCTGATGATGAAGTATAAAATAAAATTTAGAACAGAATCTAATGTAATGAGTGCACTGGAACAGAATTCAGTTCTGTATTATCGTATGACAAAACTAATGGGGAACTTGGGGAGACGCCAGAGAAGGGACATTGTGTCAAAATGCAAGAAGAAAGGAAAGAGATCTGGGAAGAAACTGCTGGAACATCATTGACAGAGATCATGCAGATTCGGTATTAGATATTTCCCTTGCAATAAGGTCTCATCCTTGGGCCAGCAGGAAGATTGCAATCTGATCAGGATCAAAGAAGCCTACAGAGTTTGTGGAAAATGTGTCTACATGCCCGTTTCAAGAACACCAATATCTATTCAACTGACCCAATAAAAATTGGGAAGCGATGGGAAAAATATTCACAAATGAAATATACGTTCTAGTTTTGCCAAAAATTGATCTCTTTAACTTCACTGGCAAAAAGTTTGGTCAATTCTGAGTACTAAAATGGGACACATGATGCTAAACACCACAAAAAAGATGATTTTGGTACATGTGTCCCTACATGATGGGCTGGATGCCCAGATGCTTTCCGCCCTTTGGAGAAACTGGCACTTTAGTGTTCTGTCAGAGGGATCCTTCTCATAAATAAAGGCCAGACTCTTACAGGTTATTAGCAGATCTTTTATTGGCAAGTCTTTCATGTCAGCTGCCGCAGCACTTTCTTCAGGAACTGCTGTTCTTGTGTAGCTGGGGTCACCATGTTCATCTACCTTTTGATTTCTAGCAAACTGGAATGCGATTTAATCTTTGCAGTTCCTAACTTGCAGGGACTTACACATATGCTTAATGCACTGTGAATGGTTCTACTGAAACATGAATTACAGTACACAAAGCTAAAACACATGCCTAAGCGCCTGCAGGATTGGGGCCTAAAAACCTGAGCATTATCCTTTTGATGCATCCGTCCCACTATAATGATGGATAAAAGTGTTTACAAAAAAGCTTTGAAGATGAGAAATGCTCCGTAAGTACATGTGTGGGGTAAAGGAAGTGGAAAGAGAAAAGGGATAGGGACACAGATTGCATTGGCCGTCCTGATGTTTGCCATAGAAACCACATCATTCTTAGCAGCTGTAGGATTAAGAAGCCTATGTGGTTAAGGAGGTTCCTCATACTTTGGATGAGCACAGTCAGACATTAGAGGGTGTAAATTCTCAGTTTCCACCTCAGGTTAGTCTTTGAAAGGATGATGCCACATGTGGTCACACTGTTCTTTGGAAAGTTCAGCTACAATAACATACACACTTGCAGCCAGTCTTACCTGAAATACTGTATAAAAAGTTTCACGACAGTTGCAGGTGACAGAAAGTGCCTTTCCTTCCGAGATGCCCCAAGTGGACTTGGACCTTCAGAGCATTTGGTAGTGCTGGGCAGCCTTTTGCTCACCAAGGACACTTGTGCCACCTTCACAGCCTAAAAAGCAGCTCTCCAAGCTGCCTGAGACAGCAGCTGCATTGGGAGAGCATGTGATGCAGCCTGTGCCTCTCTCCTGCCAGGTGGCAGTGGCCATGGACAACAATTAAGACACAGAATGGCCAATATTTTGAAAGGTTAGGAAAGGCCACTCAGTGC